ATATAAAATCAACAAAATGATAATTGTATCAAAAGTTGTTAGCTTAATCAGATAAATCTGAGACATTCTGTATACATATATATTAAAATATAATTATCTTTTTTTTACTTTAGGCATTAGAAAGTTTTTCAATTGAAACATATGCTGTATCATCAAAGCTAAATGAGTTTACTGAACGACTAACTGTTGATACAACAGATCTACCAGATACTAAAGAGCAAGCAGCAGATATCTTATTTTGTCATTCATTAGAATTCAGTAAACTGAAAAAGCATATTTCTGAAGCTGTTAAAAAGGGAGAATCTTTATTAAATGATTTTAAACAAGATACTGATACATATCATGGCACTATACCTTCAACTGTTACAAATGTGGCTGCTCTTGAAAGGTATTTTTTATATTCTAATAATAATAAGTTAATTACCGTGTTCTGATAAAATCTACAATTTGTTATCTAGTGAATATTTTGTAGAGTTTTTGTTACCAAAGTTTTCCTAAAATATGCTTTACATAGTAACTACTTAGAATTTTTAGTTTAAGATGTTTGAAATTAAAAAACAAATTCATTGATTAAAAAAATATTATCTATACATTATGTATATCTAAACATTGCAAAATATTTAATTTATCAAAATTATAGGATTTACTTAAAAATAGTTTTTGTTTAGTATGCAATTAAAATTTTACATTAATTTTTTTAGAAATTTTTGATACATCTTCTGTCTGATTTGATTTAGTTGATGTACTAAATATAATCTTTTTAATTTTACAATTATTATAAATATTATTATATTTAATATTTATTCATAACATAGATTATTGGTTCAAATGGATGAGACTGAAAAAGTATTTGATAATTTTTGGGAGCAATTTTCTGGTAGATTAAAACAATGCCATTCTTTAAGAATTTTCGAAGAAAACTTCAATATTGTTCAAGTAAACTATAAAATAATAAATAAAATGTAGTTATATAAATTATTATTTCTGTTTTATAATTTTCATCTAGAGTTCATTAAATAAACATTTAGAACAATTATCTGAAATGACAGATGTTGGAGATTCAGTTGATAGAGTAGAAATACTATTAGAAGAATTAGTTGCATTTCAGAAATCAAGTCTTGTGAGTTTATATGTAGTCAATAGAATTAATGTTGATATTTTTATAACGATTAAAATATAGTTTAACATAACAATAATAATACTTATTTATTTATTATTAACATTACGGGCAATAGCCCAAAAAATACAATATGTATTTGACAGCAAATTGATCAACTAAAATTACCATATAAACATAAAAATATGAACATAATTAAACAAAAGTAAACATTGAAAAGAAAAATAATTAAATTAAAATAAATGAAAAACATATTTTAATTAAGACAAGTACAAAATATAAACATGATCAAAATTTAAATCTAAAATAGAATAGCTATATAACTAAATTAAATTTGATAAGAGTGAAAAAAGTCAGGGTCATTATTTGCAGTGCGCATTAGACGTGGAAGAGCAGAATGAAATATATAATTAGAAGAGGAAAGAGGAATGAGAAAAGGGCAGTATTACAAGTTGAACGATCAGGCACCCTAAAGTTCAATTTTGAAAGTAGGACAAGTGAATCAATCAAACCAGCTGTCAGTTTAGAAAGGAAACGTATACTGGAACCAAAACTTTTGTCGGATAAAGAAGGAATTTGCAAGAAAATTTGAATAGGAGATAAGTTATGAGGTGGATGGGGAATATTAAAGATAAAAGCAGCAAAGCTCAAAAATTTACGCTGGACTCTTTCAGCATCATAGAGTCTGTAGCTGTGTAAGGATACCATAACACCAAACCATATTTGAGAATAGGGCAAACCAACAAGCAAAAAAGACTTTTTAGAGGTTTTAAGAGATGAGATTCATGAGTGATTATCTGAATAAAACCTAAAGTTTTGAGAGCCTTGTAATATGAAGTCAAAAATTTAAAGTAGTTGTGAAACGAGACCCAAAGTCAACTATAGAAGGGCAGATGCAATAGGGAAGTTATGAATATAATAAATAAAAGGAATGGAATAGGAAATGTATGAAAGTCATTTTATAGCACTTAAAGGTATTAAACATCAAGCCAATAGCTCCAGCCTAACTAACTAAGCGATCTAGATCAGTTTGAAGTAAAATAACATCAGAACTGTCAGTACCACATATAAATAATTTGGAGTCGTCCGCAAAAAGGAGTTTTTTTAGCATACTCTAACAGAATAAGCACGATTTAAAAAAATAGGAAGAGAAGGGAAGAAAGTATTGAACTTTGTGGCATAACGGAAGAGGGAATTATCACTTCAGAAGCCGATCCTTGAACATTTACCCACTATTTTCTTTCAGTTAAATATGAAATTAACCAAGAGAGGAGTGGTTCATCAAAACTAGAGTGGAATAGAAGTTCTGAAAGGATATTAAGATTAAGTTTATCAAAGGCTTTTGAAAAATCAGTATAAATGACATCTATTTGAACATGGACAAGGAATAAATCAGTAATAAACGATTGAAATACAAAATTACATGTTAATGTAGCTCGGCGATAATGGAAACCATGTTGTTCGTCAATAAGAAAATTATTGGTGCTGAATAATTAATTGAAAGACAAGAGACTCAAAAAGTTTTGTTAAATGAGAAATATTAGAAATAGAGCGATAATTAACAACGAGTTGGATCACCAGATTAAAAAAGGGGAATATATAGAAGAAATTTTAAAAATAGATGGAAAAAATCCTTCATCAACAGATTTTTGGGAAACCATTAGAGTGTAAAGGATAATGAATATCGTAGGTTAAATAAAAAATTATCAGGAATACTGGTATTATGATTATTATATAAGTACATTTGGCTATAATCTGTTAAAATATAGTACAATAAAATTCAAAAAACATAATATTTTTAGACTATTCATATTTTGTTAGTAAAATTTTTCATTTTTTCTAGGAAAAAATGAAAATGAGTGAAGAATTACTACATAATGGCGGAGAATTATTAACATCAAAACGTTTTATAGTTTTAGAAAGTGTTCAACCTAAATGTGATGAAGTTCAAAGACTTACACAGACACTTAATGACAGATTAGAAAAACGTTTACAGACATTAACTAAAAGTTGTGAACTACAAGCTAGAATTCAAAAAGTAATATTTATTTGATAATTATATTTCTATCAAAATATAAATGAGATAAATATAATTATTTAAAAGTTTAAATTATTATTTTTTTTTAATAAAACATGGCTACAAAAAAAAAAAAGTATTTTTTGAAGTTATGTCAAAATTTTATTGTGTTGGTGTTTTTTGGATCTCAGATTTAGATTAAGTGACCCTAAAAACATAGTAAACATGGTCTGACTTCCACATCTAGAAAAAGATATTTTTGTGTGGCTGTCTATAATTACACAACCACATTATAATAATCATTATTATAATATTATTCTAAGTAATAATTTTATTTATTTATAGGCTAGTGAGTGGTGTGCTAAGGGTGTTAAATTATTAGGATCAGAACCTGGGGATAAATGCATAAGTGCTGAACAAGCCCTTGTGGAGTTAGAAGAATTCATGAGTAGTGCTCATCATCTCAAAGTAGAAAGTCCTCGAGAGTTTTATTCTTTATTTGAAGATACCATTACTCCAGAAACCAAACCAATAGTGACACAAGTGCTTCAAAGGCTTGATGATGTTACGACTATGTGTGATAAACGTTTAGCTAGTCTTAAAAGACTGATAAATAAACCAAGACCTGTACAATCAGTTAATCCTGAACCTGCTATTCCTATTCATTTATCTAATGCTGCAAAAGTATTATATTTTTTAACATTTCAAAATTGTTAAATATATATAAATCTCTTATTATAATTTTTATTTAGTTGTCTAATATTGAAGATAAAAGTAATGCAGATATTCATCACATAGAAGAAATAAATGCTTCCAAAACTAAACATGTTCTTACTGAACTATTGTACACTGAACGGCAGTATTCTACTGAGTTAGGTAGTATACTTAAGGTATGTTAATATTATTTTCTTGTGTAATAATTAAACAAAAATTTTTTAAAAATTACATTATTTTGTTTTTGAAATTGAAGGGTTATAAAGATAAAATGGAACACCCAGAAATGAAAAATTTGGTACCAACTTCTTTAAAAGGAAAAAGTGAAATTTTATTTGGAAATATTGAGAGTATTTATAGTTTTCATAGTCAGTTTTTCTTACCAGCATTAGAAAACTGTTCTACAAGCACAGAATCAGTAGCAGTTTGTTTTACAGATAATGTATTGATTTTATTATACTTGCATATTTTTGTGTAATGTAAAAACATACTATTTTTTTTAGAGAGAGAAACTTCTTCAGCTTTATACATATTATTGTGTAAATCTTGCGAGGTCAGAGGAATTAAGAGAGACTGTTGGTGAAAATAATTCATTTTTTAAAACTTGTCAAGAAAAACTTGGACATCGTTTACCATTAGGAGCTTATTTATTATTACCTATGCAAAGAATAACCAAATATCAACTTTTAATTAAAGTATTTAAGGGAGAAATATTAAAAAATAAATACATTTTTATTATGTTAAAATTATTTTTAGGAGTTGTTAAACAATGAAAGAAATTCAAATTGTATAAATAGATTACAAAAAGCTCTGGATTGCATGCTGCTTGTTCTCAACAATGTTAATGATAACATGCACCAGATTGGAATAACAGGTTATCATGTGAGTTTTAGTAAAATAATTGTGTATGTTATAATCAGTATTTAATTATTTCATGTTATTAGGGGGATTGGAATGATTTGGGTGGATTACTTTTACAAGGGTCTTTTTCAGTTTGGGTTGAAAATAAAAAAGATATATTAAAAGAGTTAAGACTGAAACCTATGAGGCGTCAGATATTCTTGTATCAACAAGGACTACTGTTATGCAAAAAGGTATCCAAAGAAAACAAACCAATGTATCACTTCAAAAAATTTTTAAGAGTAAGTCATTTCAATAACATCTATCCATATTTTTTTTTTTTTTTAAGTAAGTTGTTATTTGAATAATAATTAGATGGAAAATATTGGTCTAACTGAAACTGTAAAAGGAGATGTAACCAAGTTTGAGGTATGGTTAGAAGGGCGTCAAGAAGTTTACACAATTCAAGCTTCTAATATACAGCAAAAACAACAATGGGTTTCTGAAATAAAACGTGTTTTACTTGAGCAGTTAGCAGAATTAAAAGGTGAAAAAATCAAACAATATATAAGTGCTTTTGGAAAACATGTGTAAGTTTTGAATATTTATCAATTTGTGTTTATTATTTAAGAATTTTTTTTCAATGATCAATTATATATATTTTGTTGTTTATTAGAAATTTAAGGCAAACTCAGTCATTAGATAATCAAAGTGATTCAAATTCACATCGGGGAAGACGCCCTCTTAGCCATCATGAAACTACTGATGATGATTCTTCTGATTACAGTTTAAGTGATGATGAATCTCTTGATGAAACTATTAAACAAAAAGTGAATGTTTTTTAATTTATAAAGTTATCATTGTGCTTAGAGTGACCTAGTAATTTAATATTTTTTAACTATTTAATTTTAATGGGTTTTTAGAATTATCAATTTTAATATTATTTTTATTTGGTGTTATAACATTAAATAAACATTTTTTTAATATAATTATTTGTGGAATTCTACTTGGGAAAAGTTAAAAATCTTTTAAATAAGTTTTAAAATGTTGGGTTGAATTTATTTAATATTCTTCAAGTTTAATAATCAATAGAATTACCTCATAGAAATTGAACATTTTGAACTCTTTAAATGTGAATAGTATAATTATCACATAGTTGCATTTTTATGATATGAGCAATATAAGTTATTCAGATGTAAAAGAAAAAGTTTTTGTGTGTAAAAAAAATGTTGTGTTTAGATATTTGCCCATTGATAACTTTTTTTGTTAGTATCGAAATAGTTTGATGTTTAAAAAAATTAATTATTTTATTCATACTAGGTTAACAGTTACATTTCATTAGCTGATTATAATGCTCTACGACCAACTGATGCTACCCTAAAAAGAGGAGATAAAGTGGATCTCTTAAAAGCTGGTTCAAGTAGTTGGTGGTATGTCAAAGTTCACGGTGTGTATATAGATTTAAACCCAGAAGCATCTATTATAAATTATTAGGCTTCTCCAACTATACATTTTTAATTATAACAATTGCAATGTCTTTTTGTAATATTTCATTACATTATGAAGAAAAAATGTGTTTTATAATATATATAGTACTCTGTAAATGTGCATGACTAGATAAGATTTTTTTAGATATTAGAATTTTGCTATAATATCCATCCAAAATTCCGATTAATATTATATAATATAGTGTGATTAATTAAGAATACTACTCCAAATTTTTCATTAAATAATGATTTTTTCATAAAAATATAGTGTATATAATTTGATTCATATTTGTGAATCTTGATAAATATCATAATAATAGTAAAAAAAAAAAATATTTATAGGTTACTTTTGAAAGTTAAAGAGGAACCTAACTATTTTTATTCTATCTATAATGTAGAATGAACTCATTAAAATTGTTGTTGGCCAAGAACCAGTTTTGTATGATGACTTTTCGATTTAATATAATTTTTAGTTATAGGAAAGCACATTGTGCAACATAGAAGAATTCTAATTTGTATAATAATTTAAGAACTAAATAAAGAGAAAATATGTAGACATGTAGATAGCACTATTTTGTTAGTCGAACTTTTAGGGAGAAACTGGTTGAAATTTGGCTCTCTTTCACAGTTAAGTTTCTGTTGGATTAAGCCAAAAAATTACATAATTTTCATAAGCCACTAAAAAATCAAAATGAATTACTTCTCGTCTTGCTGCCCTCAAAACTTGTTATGCTATTTATTCAATCTGTTCTTTAAAAATAATAACTGTAATGAAAGATAGTTGTTGAAGTATAATTTATATCTTTATGTAATGTAATCTTTGACTTTTATATAGGATCAAAAACAGAAGGATGGGTTCCTGCAGCTCATTTAGAGATTAGTGGTCGAAAATCATCCCACAGTTCACAATCACTTTGTAGTCATGGTTCAACTTCTACTGATTAATACTTTTTGAAATAGAGTGATATGTATTAAAAATTTTGTGATATTAAGTATTTAAAATTTATTTATGAATGGATAGGTTAATAAATAAAAAAAAAACTGATGTTCGAATCATGAAATGTCATATTCTCATAAAATAAAATAAAATAAAAATAATTTTTTATATATTATTAGAGCTGTTTGTATTCAAAGCAAAGTAACTTTTTTTATTTTTTTTTATCTTATATATTAAACCAAGTATTCATCAATTACTAAAATATTTAAAACTATTAATGCAAATGTTAAAATTAAAACTTTCAAATAATAATATTTCAATATTTTAAGTTTAATTGAAATGATTGATTATTTCTAATTGATTATTTTAATAATATTTATTATTGTCTCCAGTTTTTGGAAATTTTCTCATTATTATGTTCCTTTAGAATCTTTATTGATTCATAATTTTTATCTTAGTCTTTAATGTTTTGTAAATGATACTATTAGTATAAAACCATAAGTAATTTACTTTATAAATTTTTGTATCTCAAGTTAAGCAATCATTCGACAAAATAGTGAATAGTGTATTGTTATTAAAATTTGATGTGTATTATATTATACATATAATTATGAATATTTACACATTATGTTTACATTCATGTTTTCACTTTTTATCTGACGCATTTATATAGACTAAGTTAAAAAAAAAACAGAAATGAGTCTAAAAAGTTTGCTAAAAATGGAAAACATTGGATATATTTAAAAATTTTTTAAATTATAGTTGTATATATTACTAAAATGATTAATTTTTACAAAAATTTAATAATACATAATTCAGTAATTCATAGTGTTAAATTAGAAGTTTGATGTTTTTTTTATTTTAAAAAGAAAAATGAAACTTAGATTTTATATTCATAAAATAGTAATATAATGAACTCTACAATATATTTTCATAAATTGAATTTATTAATAATTAAATTCAATAATGTTACAAATTAAATGTAGGTAGGTTATTATTTTTCATAATTTTTTGGAAAATATTGTAACATTTTGATAATTTAATTTTATTATTTTCTTCCATATTACACTGTTTCTAGTCATATTATTTATATTGGATTTAGTTTAAAAATTAATGAGGATTAGTAAACAGTGTCTGAAAGAAATTACTTAATTTTTTTTAAGCAAACAAAAAAATCATTTGTGTTAAAAAAAAATTTAGAATTTTATTTTAAACAATTCATTATTTAACATATTTTTAAAATTGTACAAAACATAGTCAATTTTAGATTAATAAATTTATGTAGAGGTGTTGATTCTTATGAAGACGGCAACAAAATCTTACTATTAGATAAACAAATTCAAACAAATTTATGTTTTAAAATATGGGCTCCTTATTATGTTCAACAACATTTAGTTCCTAACATTAATATTGTTTAAATTGTTAATTCTATTTAGTACCAATTAACAACTTAATAATGGAGAGATTCTTAACTGTTTATCGTAGGTAATTTTGTATATTTATTTATTTATTTTTTTTATCATTTTTCTAATTCATTATGAACACTAGTCATTTATTTTATTGTATGACTATTCTAGCCAAATTAATGCTATTTTAATTATAATACATGAATATATTGTAATTTTACTCGTTATATGTTATTTATTATTATTATTTATAATGTTAAGTTATTATTTTTAAATCTTGAAATAAATAAATAAAACTTAATTACCATAAAACAATTGATTTATTTTATTTTTTAAAGTTAGAAAATTATGATTTCTACTTAAATAATATATAATTATTAAATAATTTTAAAACGTTTTCTAATGGTTGATTTGGAGAACAAAATAATTGGTAAATTCTAAAAAATAAAAAATAGTCATGTGTTTTGAATGTTATGCATACATGACTGCGAGAGACTTATTACACTACTCTACCTATAAATGATTAGGTTTTATACTAGTCCAGACTATCATTTTTGCTAGAATACAATTAAGATATCATATTTATAATTGAATAATTGATACCCGATCAATTAAAGAATAAGCCAACTCAACCGATATTAAAGAATAATGATAAAGAATTTCAAGAATTAATCTGGACCTACTAAAGTGCTATATATATATTTCAATTTTAGGATATTGGTACTAATTGATGATGTCATCAGTCTCTTTATAGGTTATATGAAATGTTATATAATCTGTGGTGAAATTTTATGTTCCAAGACATCAATAAAGTAAATTTTTAAAACGACATAAAACATAGTTAATATTAAAAACTTTTTTGAATTGAATTTTGACTGATGTTTCATATTAAATTTTATAATTTAAAAAGTTAATATTAAAGATTTATAATATTTATAAGGTTTTGATATTAAATAAAATAATTATTTTAAATGTTATAATCACATTACAGTGAGATAACAAGAACATTGAAATTGTTAATAACAATTAAAACATATACATATATATATATATATATATATAACCGTAAGTAAATAATAATTATCTTGTAATTTTTTTAGGAGAACAAAATAAATGTTTAAATTTTAATGTTGTCTTACGGAAATTGACATTTGTGGCATATAACAGATGAAAACTTTGTGACATTTCAGCTTTTTAATATGACACAGAATTAAAAATTGATAGCTAATAAGTATTTTATGCTATAATATTGGTACTTTTATTTAAAAGCATAAATTATTATTATAATTAAATTAATCAAATATAATTACAACTTAAACGAGAGTTTTAATATAATTTAATGGATACAAATAAATAGCCTATATTGTTATCTTTAGAAATTCACAAAAAAAAAACATAGTTTAAAAAGAACTAATGGAAATGAAAATTGATCCATGTAAAAACTAGGATGTAACGTAACTACTATCACATTGAAAAAACTATATGCGAGCCGCTTATCAATTAAATAAAAAAGAGTACATGAAACCAAACAATGGCACTTTTATTACATATTGTGTAAAAAATAGAATTTTAGGAACCGAACCTTATTTAAAAATATTTATTTATCAATTAAATGAGAAAATGTTTAATTATTTAATGAAAAAAAAAATCAAACATATTTTTAAATAGTGTTTAAGTACAAAAATATACATAAAATTTTATTTTATGGTTCAGTAAAATATGGACACTCGTGTACTTTATATATTTATACTTATATACAACAACAAATTCACTTAATATTAGGTATACATACATACATAAAAATAATTTACATTTCTATCTAAAGTTAGTTACAGATCGTTAAAAATAAAGTTTATAATAATTAAAACAATAAATAATAATACTAAACATTTAAACAGGTAGATATAAAATGAGTAATAACAAATCTTTTAGAGTTGATATTTGGCGATGGTTAACATAAAAAAAATTGTTTAATAATTCAAGGTGTCAATTGGTCAATATAATTTTGGTTCTAATATAATTTAGTACACAAGACATAATGAATATAATATTTTGCTGTGTAACAATACTTCTGCCAAGTTAAGTTGGCTTTTTTTAAAGTTTTATTGCACATCAAATATTGAATAAAATTATTTTTAATTCAAACATTTAAAATTAAAAATGTAAAAATTATAATTATCATAGATAACTTTAGATGGAATACTTATATAAGAACCAAAATTATATAGGATAATAAAACATTTGAATAATTCACTAAACGCGAATAATAGTCTCCAACAAATAACAAAGTAGTTAAGAGTCATTTTTTGATTTTACTGGCATCGTTTAAATTTTAAACTCCTGTAAAATTGTTTATGCAGATAGGTTTTTGTGCTTTAGGGGTTTCGATAAGTTTTACTATTACTTTGGTAGGGCCATCTTGATTGGTGGGGAATATCGTAATTGGTTCATCATGACGTTTTTCATCATCAAAAGTACTTGGAGTAAGACTTTTTTCAGTTGGCGATTTTCTAGATTGTGAAACGTCTTCGCTGATACTGTAATCGTCATCACTATCATGGTCTTCTATCAAATTTTCTTCTACTGACCCTGAAGGCGAGTCATCTGATCTATTATGTAAATCTTCAGTATCGGCTGGCATGTACTTGATTTCTTTGAGTTCAACATTTTTTTCGTTATTAATTGGACAATTATTTCTTTTGAATCCTGAGCACACAGCTTTATATACTATAGCAATAATTAAAATGGCCATGATAGCTGCAGTAGCTGTTATACCTGTGTTTGATTTCAAATAGTCAGCAACTTTCGTTCTCATGTTTTCTTCATCTTCTGGCGCTTGTATTGTTTGAGGCACAATACCTCGGCCTAATCCGACGTTACTATCAATAGTCGAAGAAGGAGTTTCAGTGGTTAATTCAGGGAATTTATTAGCTTTTCTAATTTCTGTCAATATTGGATTTGAGCTTGTAGTTATTTCTCCAGCAGTTGAAAACAAAAGAGAATTATTGACAACTTCAGAATACGAATTAGTTTTTTCAGTAACTATTTCGATTTCTTTCAATGTTGGGCTCGGGCTAGTTGTTGGAACTAACACAATTTCTGGTTGAATATAAATTTCACTAGTACTTGATACGTTCATATTATTTTCAGTTAGAGCAGTAAGTACGTCGTTGTCTTCAATTTTATTTTGTATATTTTTTGAGTTTTCGAGTAAAGTTGACTGAGTTAATTGATCCTCAGCTTCAGTCTTTTTTGGTAAGGTTTCAATAGTCTGTGGGATAATAGGTAGAGCTGTAGTATCAATTTTATTATTATCTTGAACACTATCAGTACCCGAATAATATTTTTTGTTTAGATCAACAAGTAAATCACCATCACCACTGCCAGATCCTGATCCCAAATCTTCTAACTCGTCCGATGCTGGCAAAGCATTTTTGTCAATTTTTAATAAATCTTCAGCTTTAAAAACGTCCGGATCATCACCCATTATGTCTTTATCTAAACATGCTTCCACCATGTCATTTAAAGGTCTGCCGTTATTTTCACATGTAATTGTATTTCCAAAGTCTATGCCACGTGCAGCCAGTTTTCGATCCTTTTGTACTAGTTCACAAGAACAGTTGATAGGATTGCCCGTTAGAATTAATGTTCTCAGACGTTTGTAAGATTCTAGATCTTCATTAATAAAGGCTATATGATTATGAGCTAGATTCGCGTATTTTAAATTTGATGGACCGAATTGATAACCCAGGTTAGTTAATTTGTTTTTACTGACCGACAAATACTTTAAATTAGGTAAACGATCAAAGTACACATTTTTCAAATTTTTTAGTCCACATTCTGATAAGTCTAAGTCATTCAAAGAATTGGAAATCAAAAATGAAGGCCCCATAAATATACCAACGTTTTTCTTTAAAGATAAAAACGTCAGTTTAGTATTCTCAATGAACGTATTACGATCTAATTTTCTTATACCCGTACCAATGAGATTTAGTTCCACCAACTCCGATAATCCATCAAAAGCACGACTTCCTACGTACCTAATCGTGCCACCAGCGATTTCAAGATACGTAAGACGAGGAAAGTGTTTAAACGCTTTGTTTTTTAACATAATAGGAGCAGAATGACCACTGTTGAAATGTATTTGTAGAATTTTTTGAGGCCATACGTCGTTGGATGTTTGAGTCGGTATTTCTGTACAGTTTGCCGCTAATATACCGTTGTCTGTAGTATAACATTTGCATGAGTTCGGACATGAAGTGGCAAATGCAGTTGCACTACTCAAAATACATAATACAGTGAACGCTTGCATACTTTTTAGGCCCATTACTGCATTTCTTTCTAGAAAATATATAAAATACAAAAATAAGTAACACTAACTTTAATTGCTTAATAAATCGTTAATTTTTGATGATTTAAATTATAAATTGTACATAGTGAAAAATAGGCAACTAACTATAAAAATTATTAAAAAAACCCATTAACCATATAAAATACATTAATTGAATTAATTTATGATGATTTTTTCGGATTATAAATATTTCTCCAAAAATTGTCTAGATACATAACTAAACTTACACAATTCTTAAGAAAAAATTAACCCTAATTTCTATTAGATTTGAGTTATAAAATATACAGTCAAAAAATGGGATTTGTAAAAAAACCAGTTGTATAAAATTTAATACATCTATTAATTTGACAGGTTTGCCTTAAGAAGAAAAAAATTAACGAAGTTAAATCTAGAAAAAATATATTTTACTTCTTTTTAAAATATAATCACTTAAAACAATAAAATAATTCATTCATCAGTTTTTAAAATCAATATTTGAAATATTTAATGCAAATGAAAGTAAACTTAAATATTAAACGTTTGCAAAGTAGAAAATGAAATATCAATTTTTTTGCTGTCTAACCACAATTATTTTCGAACTGGAAGGTAAATTGATATTAAATAGTATCTATTGCATTATAAAATATAATATAATCAGTCTAGTATAAAAATGTGAAATTAACACTAACTAAGCAATTTATGCATAAATCAGTTAGATATAGTATTACCTGTCCTCTCGTTAAAAAAATAATTTATTTACTATATATAGTAATACAAATTAAAAAATGATGTAATTTTTGTAAGACTGGTTATACAACTGTCACACGTCTATTAGTGCAAATCATTCATTATTAGTATGGACATAATTAGTCTATTATTTATCACAAATTACACAACAAATAAATACTTCTGGTATAATAAATAATTTGAACTTCGGTTATAACAAAAATTTAATAGATATAAATAATTCAGAATGATTCACTTATTATGAAACAGTTAATTACTCTCAAAATAAAAATAATATAAAATTTTTTTTCTATAGTATTATTTTTTTTTATTAATACAATATATTTTGAAAAAAATGAAATAGGATTATATGCAAATAGTGCAGTTTAATACATTGTAATTATTAATCTCATTAATAAATTTTATGTACATCAATATCAAATCTTTTTTCCTCATTTCAATAGTTAGTTAACCATTTAAAAGTTATGTGTAAATAGAATAATTGACCGAGATAAGAACGTTTTTTTTTAAACTCTTTTCTTATTACATCTAATATTTAAAAATATTCCGAGTAGGTAAAAAAAGTGTTATTCGATGTCTTATTTGGAATAGTTGCAAAAAAATAAGCTAAGTATAAGTCATATTATGCAACTTCCGTTAAACGTTTGTAAGAAAGGGAAATATTTTTATGACTTTGTATAAGTGTTGGAATTTTTAAAATCAAATGTTAACATACGGTACATATTCAAATTTGTTACGCCAAAATGTTATTATAATAACTTACTACAATATGTACATATTATAGTTTTATTAAAAATAGTATTTTAGACAACTTCTTAATAATTATAGACTTAAACATTTTTTTTTATTGAATTCAATATTCATGTTGTCGATCGTTACATACATAGTAAACTCGAATAACAATGATTTGTCAAAATGCCCATTTGAGAATATTTTTTTATCAATAATTACTTTCGATAATCACAAGAAATTAGGTGTACAGCAATTGTGAAAGTCGCCCTTTAAATTGAATGTAATATTTTCCAATCTTGACCATATAACTCAATGACGTTTCTGGGAAACAAATTTATAAACAACGTTTTTTTACACGTCAGACAATTGGTACCCCACGAGATTGCAGTTATGTTGCGTTTTGTGGATAGCTTAGTTGGACCCGCTCGACTGGTCGACGACAAATTTCCTTATTGGGTATTAATGGGTATGTTGAATAAGTCGGGATAGTGTATGGGATTTTTCCAGACATGAAACAACATTTGTCCACGGGGCTATATTTTGCAAGCGAAATTTGTACAACGCAATGATTCAATCGACTAAAAAAATTGTCATAAGAAATTCAAATAATAACAAATTAATCGCGTGCATCCAATACTATTCAAATCGTAACTCCGGTCGTTCATCATTACGGCTATGTGATTTTTTTCATGTAAATTTGATATACACAAACCAATATGTAGTTTTTAAATTCAAAATTTACTACTTTTTAGTCATATAGTCCGTTATATCACTATTATCCGTATGTAGAAGAATTATGGATCAAAAAATGATAGAAAAAATTTGCGAGTGGCGGCCATTGTCGTTGGTTACATTGTGTTGAAACAAAATAGATTATATGTATTCTAGATTTAAAATTTTTTATGAAAACACTGAAACAGGTGACTTTGATGCCGCATTGTGCGTTTCATTGAACTCGTCAAGTTGAAAAGAGAAGACTCTGTCTCGTTATTCGTCCGAAAACAACAATAGACGCGCCTTTTGATTTATGCGAGTACTGTTCAATTGAAATTTAGGTACACACCCGATATTGTATTAATCATTTGCTTGTCCAATCCCGACTCCAAAATACAACTAAAAATTACACAACACACAGGTTTTGCTACTTAAAGCGACGCTTATACATTCAGTCTTAACACAATGCATTCAGCAATTATTTTAAGAATTAATATGAAAGTTTCCTCAGGCGTTACAGTGTATTTATTTATTAATTTTTGGTGAATTCAAAGAGTAACCACGGTAATAAGATAAATTACATGTGCCTCTAAATAGAAACAATAATTTCATCCGTACCAATTACTTAATAATTATTTGATTTATAATACCAATGACAAACCAAATAACATTGACCGTGAATGGTAAGGTCGTTTCTAATAAGAAAACTATTGTAGTATTAAACTGTAATCTGACTGACGTCTATTTTTAAACACATTAGGTTTCAGTTTAAATAAAAACGTTTTTTAAATATGAACAAAAAAAATTAGTTTATGTGTAATATGATCTACACATAATATGAGTATTTAGAAGTTTTTCAATCTATAGAAATGAATACTCAGCGTGATATAATTTTACTCGCACTTGATGAAAGGTTCAGTCCATTACAGACAGTTAAAAACTTAAATTATTTAATTTATATATATTTCGGAATAAGTAATATGCTGCTCTAAGAGAGGTTGTCAAAGAAATAGTATTACTTGAACAAGTATGATTGTGTTAATTGGTTGATTTATAAAGGTATTTAACGTCAGCGTGGACCTAAGGCTAACACCTATTGTAGGATAAATATTATTTTAAATGAGAATTTTATTTTCATAGAATATTTAGAGTCCATAAGTAATGAATATGTCTCACTGCTTTACTGGTACAGCGATTCAATAAAAATACATATAATTACATGAAGGTCTTTTTTTTTCTTCAACCCGCATGAAAAACAATCAGACCACCGAGTTTGAGAAGATCCTCTAGTATTAAAAAAGTATGATTATTTTAAAAAATGGGGCTAAAACAGTTTTTTTTTTTTATTGTCTTCAACTGGCGTCACATCGCTAGTGGATAATAGTGAAGGTGAAGGGGTGTCTATGGATTTCTACTACGCTTAAGAATGTCTAAAGGAATAATACCGGTTACATCACACCGTATCATAAGATTTCTTCGATCATTCACTTATGTACCTGTTACGCAGAAACCGTGTTAACGGCCGAATACCCTTATTTGCTTTGTGGAAGATTGAATGTAAAAAAAGTGTCATATAAAAGTGCAATTTTTATATTGGTATTTTAGAGTCAACAAAGTTTTTTTTACACAAAGTAAGAGTAATTAATATAATGTGTAATGTTTTTTTATATTTTTTACTTAGTTATACCTATATTACTGTCGACACTTTATCACTGCTGACAAAAAAAAAAAAAAAAAAAAGTAAATAGCGATAAAAATTATTACACTCAATTTGTAGAGGTTCATCATTACACAATTAAACAACTAAAATCGTTTGATTTTAGTATTATTATTTATTATTTTATCCTTATAAACTTTGATGACACAGGAAATAACAAAAGTGTTCCCCTTTCTGCATTGTTTTTTAATAAAAAATAATAAGACGAAAGAATTAATTAACTAAGTGATTTATAGTAAGATGATGGTGATTAATAAATATATGATATAATGATGTCCATCTATTTTTTGTGGAGTTTATGGACTGAAGTTTTCATGATCTGAACTTATTACACAATACATCATTTTTTATTTTGCTATTTATATTTATGCAATTGTCGTGTAAAATAATATTAAATAGTCAACCATATAAAATAATTCCGAGTAAATAAATGAGATGACCAATGTATCAAAAATAAAAATACAATCAACGGATTTCCAAATAAATTTCTTTTTATTGTTATGCAATAAAATATTTTGTGGTAACTTCGTTGTTTTTGGCAAAAATTATGTTAAAATTTGTGTCAAGGTATTAAGTAGTTATTATTCAATGTCATATATACACTTTGATTGAATCTAATACCGAATAAACTACTATTACAAATGATACAATTATATAATTAATTTAAATTAAATAATTCGGTGGCATGTGTGTATACTTGTTTAAACAATTTACACATTACATTTAAGAAATAATTATATCTTACTCAGAGATAAGTTGCATAATAATATCAAAACATTTCATTTTTGTATACAACAGGAATATTAACGATCCATACTAATTTGTACAATAAGTAACATAACACTTCCTAAAATTTAAAACTTTTCCTACTAAAATATACTTTTCATGTAAATAAAACGTTCAATATATTAAACATTTGTATACGTTACTTTTCCACTATAAAAATTTATCATTGACAAGCTTATAGCAAGTAATGTTATAAGATGTGCATTTGATTATTGCACGCGAGATTTCTTAGCATAGGCAATAAGAGAAAAAACAGATTTTTGAATACGTCATGAATTAAATTTCCGAAGTAGTTGTAAAATGTTCCTGGTATTC